TAAGTATGAAAATAAACGCACGATAATTACCATAAATCAAATAGCGTTGAAAATTCATTACACTTTAATACAATACAAAGGAATTAATAAATTCAATTTTGAAAACATATTTTACAACTTTTTGTAGTTTTTGATATTTTTGATTTATCACGTCTTTTTTGGACTGTTTAGGTAATTTTTTCATTTCGGTAATTTTTTCGATATTTTTAATAATTTCCGGCTATTAAAACTTTTTACGTAGATTTTATAAATTATTTTCACATATTCGTCTTACAAATATTTTACATAACCTTAACACAAGTCGTACTTAATAATATCTTTAATTTTTAAATATTTTACACTTGAAAGATTTTTATATTTTCTAAATCATAAATCTTTTGTTTACCTTCTGTGCATTTTATTTTTCATTTTTTGATATTTGAATACATTTATAAGATGTTTTAATGCATTTTAAACTTTTTTTTTTCTGATTTTAAGTGAATTTTCAAAGTTTTTTAATGCTTTAAATTGACACTTACAACTAATAGTATAAATAAGAATATTAATTTTAAAATGTATTTTTTCATTCAAAAAAGTAAGCAACTTAAAAAACAAAAACAATAAATGTAGTGGAAATTATTTTTTTCAAGAATTTTGCTTTTATAATGACTTAAAATTATGCTGACAAAATATTTTCAAAAACGTTAATATTTTATGAAATATAGCATTATAATGAGTGCCTAACATTGAATGTTTTACATTAGGAAATCTTCCGTGTAAGTCAAGGACTAGTAAATATCGCGTTATATCCGTCAAAAAAATAACCGGTTTTTTAAATTAAAGTTAGCAATAGATATACTGAACAACAGCGTTAACTATGAAATATATCATGTTACAAATAATAATTACATATTCATGATGATAAAAAAAAGTTATGGTACCCTTCTTAACTATAAAGGTTCTTTATTTGTTGCCTTATTGTTTATTTTAAAATATATCTTCATTGATAGACATAGTAATACAAATAAAGTTAATGTTTTTGATGTTAAATAATTCAATTTATAATTCTACTTACATGCTGCAAATACTCCACCTTCGCCCGAATTCAAACCTATAACTACAGGTACATTAGATTCTTGTTTAAAGTCAGTAATTGGATGATTACATAGGAACGATTCCTGGTTTGAATCGCATGATTCAACTACAGGTGGGAATATTATGCATGGATGATTGATCCACTCCTGAAACATGAAATATTTTAATTACTTTAAGTATAATTTAAATAATAAACGACCAATGTTGGGTTTTATTGAGTGTTAATACAATATCAACCATCACAATCATACAACAACAAAAGTATGTATAAAGGCTAAAATTTTGATTTTTTTTTAGTTGAAATCTTTTTTAATATAATCTCCGAACGGTACCTGTACTTGATGGTAGGACAATAATAAAATTATAATGAGTACGAAGCAGGGCTTGCATACGTGATAATAACGTTATATTTGATAAAAAACGATTGAAATTTGTAAACGTAATTATAACGGAAAACGATAAACATAAATAAATAAATAACACAAAACAAAACGTAACGTTTAACAAAATATATGATATATCATTAAACAAAACAACGCAAAACGGTATATATTGTATTCCATTAAACGAAATAGTTAATTTCCAATTATTTAATAATACTTAGTAGTATTCAATTATTTATTCAATCCAAGAATTAATTTTATTCCGTATCCGGCCTATCCGGGAGATCCCGTATCAGATATTATTTTAAAACTTAATAAGAAGGACAAGAAGGTATTAATAGAATAATTTAATTACCAATAGCTAATAATAGTGATACTCTGATAATATTGTACTGTACTATCTGTACCACGGTCGAAATTTATACCATTCAACTATTCAAGTTATTCAACTATTGTGTTCGGTGTTTAGATTGCTCAGATTTGTTCAGTCGTCACTCGTCAGTGCTTGTCTAATGTTTAATATTTATATTTTATACTAATATACTTATAGTTTTAACGTGCATACGTTTTCTTTATATTAGTTTAACCCATTTAACTAAACGAATAAAATAAAATAAATAAAATTATACAATACCTACTTAAAACTCAGAATAGGGAAATTATGTCCCCAAAAAAAGGTCATATTCATATACTTTTAAATTGCGGCCTGTGAACTTTTAAAACAGGTATCTAAATGATTTTAAATTTTAAATAACGATAAACGCAAAAATTGTGTAACGTTTTAATTCTGAACAACGATAAACACAAAAGTTGAATAATGTTCAAATTTTGAATAACGATAAACTCAAAATTTGTATAACGTTTTGATTGTAAGTAACGTAAAACAAAATTTTTTTCAAATGCAAGCCCTGGTATGAAGTAACTGGAGATACATGAGAGATAAATGAGCCCATAGGAATGAATAATACTTACGAAAAATTTATTATGAAGTTCGACCACATATTTAGCTGGAAGTTTTTTTAAACATTTCAATATTTCTTCAGAATTATCGAAATTACATCCCGCGATAGTAGCAACTGCTTCTGTACGTTTACGGACTAATCCAGGTGGAGAAACAGCCCAACGACACAAAGGTGTACCGCTCTGGAGTATGGCTTTATGGAACAGGCCTTTACTTAACGGAGATAATAAATGATATCCTACACTGGCACCACCCGCGCTTTCGCCAAATATTGTCACCTGTCCAGGATCACCGCCAAAGTTAGCAATATTTTCTTGGACCCAACGCAATGCCATGACTTGATCTTTGAGTCCATAGTTACCCGGTATCACATCATCTTCGGTGCTTATAAACCCTAAATAATAACAAATTATTTGTATAAAGTATTAATATCGAAACAGTTTGGTTAAACAAATCTTACCAAATAATCCAAGCCTGTAGTTTATGGACACCAAAACAACATCATTATCCATAAAATATTCAGGTCCAAATATGTTTGACCCGCTATGACCAGCGAGAAATCCTCCACCGTGAATCCAAATCATTACTGGAAGTTTTCCATTTATATTTGGTGTATAGACATTCAAATACAAACAGTCTTCCTGGCCAAGTGTTAAGTGTCTAATTGCTGGGAAGAAATGATTATTTTGTGTACACATATTTGATTCTTGGGTGGCATCTAAAATACCCCCCCAAGAATCTACTGCTACTGGAGGCTAAAATCAATTGTAAAATATCATTATAAAGGTTTCATTTTAACTCAATATAAATTTCAATGAAATTTACCTCAAATCTAAGTTCATCAATTGGTGGCTTTGCATATGGTATGGCAGTAAAAGAATAAAAATCTCGGCCATCTCTTGATTTTGAAGTTAGTCCTCTTATTGCACCTTTTGTAATCCTTACTACTGGATCACAAATTACAGCACTCAGAAATAAAATGCTAATAATAGAAGCTACCCACATTTTTAACCTAAACATAAAATAATTCATCAATTAATCGCTATTTGTACATAGGGTACTCAGGGTACCTTTAAATTAATTTAAACACGATTTTTAGTACACAATTAATATAATTATATTATATTTTTCAGAAATTGTAGTTTATGAATTAATGGAAATTAAGTAGAAAAAAATGAACCAAAACAAGTTTACCACTAGGTACCTATTTTTTACATTTCTTTTATGTTAATTATTATTTATTATATACATCAGTGTAAACACAAATATATACAATAAATAATTATAATTTAGAAGTATTCAAAATAACTTTTATTTTATTTTATAAATAATTTCCTAGTTCTACCTACCTTGTGTAGGTATCGGTGTTCAAGTGACGGTGTGGAAATGTGTAAGGAATATATTTAATTCATACATTATACATAGGTACACACTATACACATGCATACATTCACACAGGGTAATAAAATATAAATACATATGAAAGACGAAAGGTTAATCGGTTATGTTGCTACAACCCCAACAAACCACATTCTGAAGGCATTCTTTATTTAAACGCAACAACATCAAAAATTGAGGGGGTATAGAGCAGGTGCTAAACTACAGATCATTTAGCCTTAGGCACTTCAGGTGTGTTTACAAAATAAAAGCAAAATCGATTTATTTTTTAAATTAAACTACAATAAATATTATATAATGCAGGGGTGGCCAAACTTTTTTTTGTTAAGATCTACGGAGAGTACATTTTTCCTTTAAGGATCGACTAACGCAAAATACAATTTTAATTTGTAAATCTTTATTAGTTTATCACTAAAACTATAGTAATAAACTTCAAACTTATATTAATAATACAATTTAAGTCTAAAGTTATCTAAAAATGTAAACGTTTCACATTCAATTTCTAAATAATTTCAAAATAAATTAACATTAGGTGTATTGTTGGCGTAGAAGCGTGCCATTTCATATCGTTGGCTAGTTAATTACATAATCTGTAAATAGTTTTTAACTGCTAAATAATTCACTAAGACTCTGCCTACTCTAAATGATCATCAGAAACCATGTAGCCCGGTATCTAATCAGCTTGTATAATATTTAAGTGAGAACATTTTATTTCACACAAACAGATTGATCCGGGATATGTATGTAACTGTTTATACTTAACATATATTAATTTATTAGTTCTAACAAAGAGTGATCGACTTTGAAATCATCTGAGATTGACCCAAGGATGGCATTTTTTTTTAAATTAAGTCTCGACCACTTGACTTAGTAGTTTTAATTTTATTTCATGTACCTATTTTATGTAGATAAATAAATAATATAATAATAATATTCCCCTTAATTATTGGTAGGTACCTATTGATACACACATATTTATAAGAGAATATAATAACTTACTAAAATGTAAAGAATGCTGTTTTTAATGAATTATTATACTATTCTGTTCCATACCTAGCTAACAGCAAAACAATTGTTGTTTGTGTTGTGTTATCCAACGATAAAAATTAGAATCTAAAAGATAAATGTCACTTATACGGCTTCAACATTTTTATCAGGTAAACAACCTAAACAATAATATTACACTTAAACACACACTTTTACCAAAAATAAACTTACAGTTTGATAAATTAAACATTAATTTCATCGAGCTAAATATAACACAAACGTAATAGATAAAGATAATATATTTGTCATTCTAATTAAATGCCTTTCAAACAATAGCTTAACCGACAAATTCGTTAATCAAAAAATACTATTGTTACCTACTCGGTTAATTAGCCATGAAAGATTTTCATTTTATTTGTCAATATATCTATGTTCAAACATTTTGTTAACAAGCGATCCGTATAAAAAAAATGTATAACAATGATACTAATAAATTAACAGTAGCAATTTATTCCTCAAAAGACAAAAATCTCAAAGGTAAAATTAAGTTTGAAAATAATTAGTTAATAATGTGTAAATCGTTAGCAAGCTACTTACTATTATATCGAGTTGTAATTCGTTTAGTTGCCGCTTTCGTACTGAAGGGCGACAGCGTAGGTACACACTACACACTGTTAAGTGCTTAGAACAGTTTGTAGATAGACCTGCATCACTTGACGACGGCCAGCGATTGTCTGATTGAGAAAGAAACTTGGTCTTACCCGTCCCAACTAGATTAAAATAGTTAATATAAAAACCTACTCAAACATTGACGTCGACCGCTTATTATGATACACCAATCTGTTAGGTCATTCATTTTTTTATTTTTTTTTTTCATTGAGTTTCCGTCAAAATCTAACTATAATCATTCTCAAAAGTTATTTAAGCTAAAAGACACTTCTGAAGAACTGCATAACACCTAATATATTAATTAATGTAATATATTATAAAATATTATTATATTAGTGGTTCTCAAACTGGGGCACCATAGAGCATACGAAAATAAAATGATAAATATTTACAATTGATCGTAATAATTGTTTGTTGATTTCGATATGATTTTTTAAAAAATAATTCGACTTTATGCATTAAGATATCGGGTACTGTGTGTACGCCACCTAAATTCAGATAACAGTACACACACGTGACTTCCCAGAATCGGTCATGTTAGGTTTTATCAACTTTCGTGCTTGCCTAATATTTTTACCAAGTTTGATGAGCTTTAAATTGATCATCAATGAAAACTAGAATTAATTTTCTCATGTTCCTCGAAGTATTCACAACAAGGCGCTGCTAAATTTACACCAAACGAGGATACCGCCGGTGTTATATCATTACAGCCTACAGGTTAATATAATAATAGTTATGACTTATTGACTAGCTGTCGAGCAAAAAATTATCATCTCGACTATTATATTACTGCAGTGAATTAAAAAAAAGCAATTATGTAGGCTGGGAAATACGGTTCTGGATAATGTGACATTTTTTATTTAGATATAAAGAAACTGTTAAGAATTATTCAATTAAATGTAATAAGCTAATGTATACATTATAATATATATATATAAATGGATTGTATATACTACCTATTACTATGGATAATAACCTAGTGGGAAGTATCATAACACAAACATTGTTAGGTACCCTACATTTATAGCTGTGTTGACAACATATTATTATAATTGGCAAAAGTTTCAGGTGAGCTATTAAAAATAGAATTTTGTTCTAGCGCAGTGTTTCCCAACCTTTTTGACGTTACGGACCACTTGAAAAACTATAGGTAAACTTTTTGTTTTTTTTACTCAAGGTTCATTTTTTTACAGATTTTAGATATGAATATAAATCAAATACAACGAAATTTCCAATAATAATAATGCTTATTAATTTTGACTTATTAACTTATTTTTTAATATTTTGAAAATTGCATTAGTCATAATAATTTTTTGTTTTTCATTTTTTTGCCGTTATTTTGAAAAGCACTGTTAATTTGTTTACTTTGACCTAGATTCAAGCAATGTCCAATTTGCTACCCAAAGCTACCGCCCTCAAAATTGAGGACTAAAGCATTTTTTAACTATAAAGCATTACAAATTCAGTCAGAAAGAAAATAAAAAAATAATACATTATTGGAAAACCAGTATAGACTCATCGCTCCGCTCAGAATCTAAAATGTTAATAAAAAACTTATTTTCTATCCAAATATATAAATATAATAATTTATTATGTAATATGGATAATGTGTGCCTATACTATGACGTACAATATACCTATAATATTTTAGATTAATGTATTAGAGATAGGATGTCGATGACCTAAAATAGTACCATAAGTGACAAAATAAAATGCTTAAATGATCTAAAAACAAAAAAAATTACCAAACATATTTCCAAATTCATTAAAATTGTATTCATTATTTTTAAAAAAATGACTTATAATTTTTACAAGATATACTTACAGATAATATTTGATAAGCGTGTGCCTGTAAACATATGCTGTATACTTGTAAGCTGTAAATCTAATCGGAACAAAAACCTTCAATAAGAATACAAATATGTTTAATTCATTTTAACATTTTGACATTTCCTTTAAAATCTAATATTTAAAAAAAATTACCTGTACCATCAAAAATGTAAAAATAAAGAAAAATTATATTAAAAATAAAAATAAATAATTCATAGCTAAAATTACCAAAAATGCAAAATACAATTTATTTATTCTGAATCATAATGAAGCATAGAATTTATTTATTGCTTAGTGAGCATAGTATAGGCTTAAAATGTAAAGGAAAAAAATGAAAAAGTCATTAACGTCCTATCACTAATTATCATCAATAAATGTAGCCACGTAATCTATGAGCCTACCACACGACTTTTTTTTTTTATTAGGATAAACCTCGGCATCTGCCATTGCCATCTGTTATTGGCTGACAATTTTTCATTTCAATAATGACACAATAATAATATGATTGTATGAAGTACATATTTCAATATTTACTATTATTACAATAAAATTATCTATACAAATTTCTTTGATAAGTTTTAGTTTCACTTGACTTTTATTATAAGTAAATAAGTAGGTAGGTACTTATAATAAAATATAATAGGTATCTGAGTATGAAGCATATTTACATAAATCATAATGAATTTTATTATTATATTTGTATGTAAAAACACCAAGCCTGCTATTGTATATAATTGGTGTATTTTTTTCAGTTTGATAGCTGTCAATAACTATTTTTCTTACCCACTTATAGCAAATTTTAAAAAAAATGTTTTATGATAATGTACTTGAAAAATATTATACATTATAACATTAAATATAAATTATAAATTTTAATAGATTGGTACATGTTCGAAATATTATTGAATTACTTATACTTACTTATAAGAAATATATATAATAGTGGTATAGTTTAATGAACATGAAATGAATAGGTAATATAAAATATATTTATATTGATTTAACTATTATACTACCTATTCTTATAGGATAACTTACATTGTATATTTTTATAAACAACAATAGCGATTCAATTTCAAAAAATTTAACATTATATAGCAACCTATTGTAATAAATTATAACATTTTACATCAAATTTGTATTATTTATTGTTTATTACCTATACAATTTAGGTGATATAATTATTATCGCAATAATTTAGCAGCATATTTAATATTTTATTTACGCAAACTGCATAATATAGATTGGTGTAATCATTATTAATTAGTATAATTAACTAGTTATTGTGCATTTCAATTGCATGAGTTTTTTTTAACTTTCTTATTCTCTGCGACAATTATTTGTTTCACAATCTCGTTAAAAAAAGTCATGATCCGCTACTTCTTATAAGTATAGCATTATTTAATTAATAAAAATTACATTACTAAGTACATTATTATTCTGCATTCAATTATGCAGTATAAGCTAAGCTAATGCAGTAGGTTATTTAGACTTATAGCTAGGTAGGTGTCCTCGTGTCCATATATAGGTAGTTGACTCTCTTTAATTCAATCAAACCTTCGATGATTCGAAACTCTCGGTAGGTATACATAATTTGATAAAATGCTCAAGGAGAAGTACCTTGAAAAAAAGAAATTACCATTCAACCCTTTCCCACCCAATGTTTCATTTTGGTCCGAAAAAATAGTAAGTGAGTGGGTAATAACTTCGAGGTTTTTATATTTCACATGTTAAGTGATCAGGTTAAATGTCTCATACATCGACACATATTGCATATTGATAGAAATCAAATGCCTAAACTTCCATAAAACAGACTGAACATCTTAACCTGTCAAGTATTAATAAAGTTTATCCCCAGGTAGGGGAATACATAGTGCAACTAGGCGAGGTCTTGGATGGTCTAAGCCCTCTCTCTCCTCCCAAAAACAAGAATATATTAATAGCACTACAAAATACAAAATACTGCATAAAAATATTTTCTCCAATGAGACAAAAACTGGCTGAGAACGAGTATATATGTTGCGAGACTGTTTCTCAAATTTGTCTTTTGAGTGACATTTTTAATAGGTATCAACCAATTGAATGAGATGTTGTCAATTCATTAAAAAATAGCGATGCTTTGTGGAAATATATAATTTAAAAGATATTTTTTAAATAATTTGTTAGATGTAAATTTATATTAAATTAAAATTTATAGATAATAATTTAATATAATATATAGTAGTATAGTACCTATATTATAAATGTACATTTATTTTAAGCCACTTTCAATCAAACCTGTACCTAATCCTTAAACCTAACGAACTTAGTAAAGATTGTGGTCTGTGAGGGAAACGTTCACACAGCTTAATAAAGTCAGATATCACGGACAATATATTTTAATCGTTATATCTTATCCAGATTAATATAAAATAGTTGTAAGTTGTCTGATTAATTATCTAAGATAAAAAATTAACCCAGCTAGATAAACAAAAATAATATAATTTTTAATACATACATTTTACTCAAATATTTTATAATGATACCTAATAATAATAATAATAATAATAATAATAGATAAAATATAATATTATCTAAAAATAAACCGAATACAATTTTAAATCCAAACATCATATAATTAAGTACCTTGTCTTTAGTCTAATAATTTCTGATGTGGCCGATGTGGGTCTTACAAACAATAATTTACTTTGAAATAGTAAGTATTTGTGAAACCTATGGTTCTCAGCTATTATATGAAATATCTAAGTACCAATAATTGAACATTTTCGCATTGAATTGTTGATATAATATAGGTACACAGTACACTAAATACATAGGTACATAATATAAGTGATAAGTCACGCAGATGTAAGACAGAGAATATTTTAACACCAAAAATCTACAAGTCTTGCCAACGGCACACTGTTTTTATTAGCAACTGGTTGGAAAATAAAAACCAGTCGTTTTAAAGTCTAAAAAAAATAGGTATGCCGCATCTTCCTAGATGCTACAAGGTCGAAAATAGGCCAACCCGCCAACCATAGTGCCTATTAGAGACTATTGTAACTATATTATTTACGTATGCGTCTCTGTCGGCATAATTTATTATTGTAAATACTGACTATTATATTCAAGGGCATAGTAGCTCAACATTTTCGGGGTTTGCTAGTAATTCTTCAAAATGTTACTTGCCTTAATTGTTATTTTTTTTCTACTGGACGCAGTATTTTTAAATCTAATTTTAAGATATTTATAGGTACCACGAACCAAACTGAAAAAGTAATCTTAAAATAAAAAAATCTTAATTATACCAACAGCTAAGTACCTAAATTGAGCAAGGGAAAATATAAATTAAATTTTGAAATATATTTTACTAATCACAGTGGCTAACAGGCTGAAGCCCTCCTCCCTTCCCAATACAGTATTATATTTACTTTAAAAAAATATTTATCAAGTTTCATTTCAATTTTCGTCAACTGGTAAGCAAAGATATAAATTCATATATTAGTCTTACCGGATCAGCTATAGCCAATAACTAATAATATATAACTCGATAAGCTTAATTCATTTTTGCAAAAACATTGTATTTACATACCAATTTTCTTCAATTGATCAGTATTTTTTTGGTACAAGTACTTGTATGATAAACTTTATATTACATTCATATCACATTACATCATAAAAACTTATGAGAAAACTTATATTACACTTTTAAGCTTTTTGACTGAATGATAATTGATTTTTTATTGACAATTTGACATTTTAAGAAAAAAAAGTTAAAATAAATCAAATACAATCCAAGCGAAAACGATCTAACCAAGACTACTCAAACAGTTTTAACAAATTTTCATATGTATTTATTATTTATTTTTGTTTTTCCCGATTATTTTAAAAAGCACCTTCTGAGAATGTTTAATTTCAACCTCCCAAATTTCTAATTACATTTAATATGCATCCAAAAACCCTCATTGAAGTTTATGATCAAAGCATTTTTTCACTAGAAAAGTTAAGAAGTTGAAGTTGTAGAAACATCTTCAAATACCTCACCCAAACGATTGCAATTATTAGACCAGACAAAATAAAAATAAAATTGTAGGTAATTTTCAATCCCCCCCCTCACCATTGGAGAATTCTGTGTACGGCACTGACTATAGTCATCATCAGTATAATAATAGGTAGGTCTAATCGTATAAATAGAGATCGGATTTATATGTATTTGTACAACAAAAATATGTGCTAAGCAGTTCGAGATACGTATTATTAAAAAAATATATAACATAACTAGTAACATAATAAAATGTAATAAAAAAAATGATTATCTAATTATCTTGGTTGCAATTTATAACAACAAGCATTTTTAAATGTTCAAATTCAAAGGATCGCTGGTTCTGTGGTAAAATTACTTTATAGGTACCGTATTTATACATACAGCCAAAAATACGTCCTGTCGACACCGCCGAACCGAAAATAATAAATACTATACTATATACATGTCATAAACTATTAAGTATTGGCTTACTTATGATAAGCTTTCAATCACTCGGAACTCTGTAGAAAACATGTTAAAACAGTAAAATTATCTAAATATGTATCAACAAATTGAATAGTTGTTAAAACGTGTGTTTATGACAAAATTTGTAAAATCAAGTATAGATCATTTCATCAAAAATCGGAATGATTTTGTCACTTGCCGAAATTAGTTTGTTGTGTCATATTGAAAATATGTATTAACATATAATTTCGAGCCTTAATACGATTCTGAGTGAAGGTGGTCTGTAAGGTATTAACATAAAACGAATCTTGTGTTTTTTTTAAATATCATAGTGTATATGAATATAGAACATAAGAATTGACTTAAAAGTTTCAAATCACTAAGAATAATATTTTTGAATTTCAACAAAATAGGTACCTATCGTTATTCTTTGTTTAAATATTTAATTTCGTTAAAATGTTTACTTAAAATGTCTTTAAAAAGTGTGTGGGTAGGGTAGGGTTTTTTTTGGTTTCAGTGTGAACTACTTACGAAGAACCTTTTATTAAATTTCCAAGCCTTAACTGTAAAAATTAAACATTTTATACATTTTTAACTACAAAATTATTTGTAAATGTTAATGAATTTATTTTATTTTATTTTTTTTTTTGAACTTCAAACGCTTATAAAAAAATCATGCATATGTATTTAAAATATTTTTTATGGTTAAAAACAAATGTATCAACACTTTAAAAATATATTCGAAAATTCTAAAATGTTAATTTGTCACTTGCCGAAATTAATTTATCATGTCATATAGAAAATACCTATGTATTAGCATATAGATACTTATAAATAATGCTTATTAATTATTATACATCCTAATAAATGTCATTGCTATTAATATAAATTATAGCAAGTCATAAGGTATATAAACAATTTTTAATATTATAATTATGGATACAGTATTTTAGAGCCCAATATTTGTTTTTATTAAGACATGTTCAATATTAACCTGAAAATAACTATTGAAATACATTATAATGTTCTGCCTTTTGCATACTAATTTATGATAACTAAAGAGTGTAATAAATTATTTAATATAATCAGTAATAATTTATCACTGTTCTCAAACCTGGTAAGCCTCCAGAAAACCCCTCTTCGTACAGGCCCATCAGCTTACTACCAGTCCTGGGTAAAATCCTTGAAAAAATCATTCTCAAGCGAATCACCGCCATAGCACAATCAAAAAACAGCATTCCAAACTTCCAGTTCGGTTTTCGTGCTCACCATTCCACAACACATCAACTTCACAGGGTTGCGGACACTATCTCCGCTGCTCTCGAAACCAAAAAATATTGCGCCGGTGTCTTTCTGGACGTCGCGAAAGCATTTGTACCGTCTGGCATGACGGTCTCCTTTTCAAACTAAAAAATATATTTCCAGCCCCTTTATACCTAATACTTAAATCCTATCTTGTCAGCCGCTCTTTTAATGTTCGCCATAACTTACAACACTCAAAACAATATCCCATATTTGCTGGTGTCCTCCAAGGCAGCGATATTGCTCCTTTCTTATAAACCATACATACGTCGGACCTACCTACATCTGAAAACACTTTAGTTGGAACATATGCTGACGATACTGCTCTATTATCAGTTTCTTCTGACCATATCACTACATCTCATAAACTACAAACCCACCTGAATTCTCTCTCACAGTGGTTCACCAACTGGAAAATAAAAATCAATGAATCAAAGTCCTCTTTTGTGACCTTCTCACTCGGACCTCTAGGGTTAAACTGCCCAGCTGTAACAATCAACAGCATCGTCATTCGACAGTCAACAGAAGTAAAATATCTTGGACTTATATTTGACAGACGCCTCACCTGGTCTCATAAAAAAATAAATCAAAAATCTTAAATTATGTTGTGTTACTTAAAATGCATATAAACATTTTTAGGCTCGGTCAAAAGCTTTACACTTTAATACAAGATCCCACATAACTACATAAGTTGATCTTATTACAATTTAAAAATAAGTACACGATTCTTCTTATAAACATTTTAAGTATAAATTTGGATAAACTTTATCAAGACCCTGAACATTTGAAAATTATTCTGTACCTACCTATAGTTAAGCAATTACATCTTTTATAGCTAATTTAACATTGAATTGTTCACATGATAATACTGATATCAAGGTGAAGGAAGTACACTCAATACCTACTTTATACCAGAGAGGTTACTTCATTTACCTCTTAATTGTTCTTGTCATTTTTTAAATATTATATTTCATAAAAGTTTGAAATTTTTGATTGGATTTGATAGAGTTCAATTCAAAATGAATTCAAATATAAAAGTACAAGTTTTGGTTTGAGTTTGAAAAATTTTAAAAAGTTTAGTTTGAGCTTGATTTGTCCTACAAATGCAGTTAATAACTTCAATACTTCATTAATGATGTATTATTTATAATTGTACATAACATAATAATAATAATTTATGCACATTGCATGTCCTACTTGATACATTATAGCACTATTTTAAATAAATAATTAATTAACATGAATTTATTAATTAAGTAACGGCCATTCTAGTTGGATTATTCGATCTATTATTTTGCTCGTATAGTGTCATTAAATAACATTTTAAATTATTATATTATTATTATGTTCCTATTTAAATAATATTACGTCAAGCATTAAAACATTTATATATTATGTTTAATATATAATTATTAATAATATATTAGGTATAGAGATTATAAATACTCGAGTGCTTACTTATAAATTGTATAAGAGCACTGTACTCCTATAAAATGTTTACATGCAATTTATAAAACACTTTAGTTACTCCAAAAAGTAAATTAAAGAATCAAAAATCAAAAATATGATACAATATCAAATTATCAAATTGTGTATTGCAAATTGTAAAAATTTTTATTGATAAATAAAAAAAAAAAAAAAATATTATTGTAAAATCAATAGTTTTCTTTATAATTAGTTATTTGGAATCTGAATTATAAGATGATTAATATTTGAAAACAATTACAAATATTTTGTAAGATTTAGATCAACATTTAATATGATACATTAACATAATTAAATTTGCTATATATTATTTTAAACATTTCATAATATAGTATTTATTTACATCCAAATAAGAAAAAAATATGAAAGTATAAAACTATTTTTAAAGATTTTAGATCAAACCACTTCACAATAAATTAATACTACTATATTAAGAATTTCAACCAGAAATTAATTTTATAATTTGAGCTGGTTGAATAACCTTAAGTATGACACAATGATACATTCTTTTCTTTTTTTAGCAGTTAGAATATATGTTAGATTCAAAAAAAAAAAATTGTAATAAACAATTACTTATAAACTGCATATTATTTTAGCATTTACAAAAAATAAGATCAGTAATAATCAGGTTAAATTTAAAAAAAACAAAATACAATTAATATGTATCTTAATTTAAGTATTTAACTTTATTATAAAGGTACCTACTTTAAATTATAAATATAAATAAAATTAATTATTTGCTGGTTGATGTGCATCTTCTCTTGCATCAAAATCATTCATATCTTCATCATCTACAAAAAAATAATTGTATGCATAATTTAAAAGGTAGGTTTATTAAATATATAAGCTAACATTATGTGCTTATAATTTATCAAACATTTTGATAGAGCATAATATGTAAATAATAATTTTTTATTAAATTAATAAACATACTCTTATTGTAAACATAAAAATATGATGGTATTTTATAGAATAGATACAATATGTGATCAACTACTAAAATATGTGATTTTCCTCAAATTGACCATGTATTTACGAGTAATAACTGTTTAAGTCATTCCAAAATAGAAACATAAAATAACATTTAAAAAAAATTGTTATAGCAAGCTTATAAACAGTCTAAAATAAGCACTTATATACCTTATGCACAGTGATAAAAATAAAATAAAATACAATATCTATTCAATTATTTAATACAAACTAATGCATATTAAATCAAATTGAGTTGATAAATCACATATTGTTCCTATAGGAATATATTCTTATTTTTTTTTTAGTAAACAAAACATAGCATACTGTCTATCTCACCATCTTCTTTGAAACGTTCTTGTTCATATTCATATTTATATGAATTATTTTTTTGCTTTGATATTTTGTCTTCTTCATTGCTAAAATTTGGTTTAATTTAATTTATAAAATTAATAAAATAAAAATTGTTCTGATTGAAATTACCTATACTTGTTCAATGAATCTTTCTTAACAGTCTCCTCTTGAGGTGGGGCAGGCATGGCTTTCATGGATTCATTTCCACCAACTTGAGATTCCTAACACAAATAACATACACTCCAATAATTAACTAATTATAATCAAATATTTACTAACAATGTTAAGGATAAATTCATTCTATCGATGTATGGGATACTACATTGGTGTTGATAACTTCAAACCAACTTAATATTTATATAAATATGTAATATTATGTATATTAATTTATGTTTTCATAAAGATCAGATTTTTTTTTTACTAAAATATTGATAAAATAACTTCTTAAATTAGTAATTAAAAAAATTAATGATTTTATTTAAAACTTATTGGAAATTAGAGATCAATGTTTAGAGCAGGGGTTGGCATTAATTTCTATTGGAGTCCTAAAGATTAAAATAATAAATCAATGTGGTCCAGTGAAAAAATCTTTTTCAAATCTTTATATTTTTAAAATAATTATGCCGTTTTAAATTTCCATTTTGAATAATAGAATTGAATTGCAAATTAAACAGTCTGGAATGCCTCCAACCCTTCAGGCAATACAAAAAAATATAATTCTGTCCACTCGTTCATAACTTCCTATTTTCGCTGTAAATTTTGAGTGTTTTACTCGACATATTGAACGAATAATAAGAAAAAATAATATACATGTTGACAGGGTCCTGAGTTTTGCCTTCTGTGGTCCGCCAGTTGCTGTTTCTATTTAGAATTTAGACTAAATGATGTATAATAGCTTCTTTTAATTTTTCAAAAAAAAATACATTAAATCAAGTTAAATCTACAAGTAGGATAACGGTTCCTATAAGTATATTTTCCAACTTTAACATTAGCACTGGAAATCTAATATCAATTTCACTGGTAACTTACTTGAGTTGAACTAGTATCATTTTGTAGGACCAAAGCATTATTTGGTACTTTATCAGAGCTGATGTCTATAATAATAGGCTGATTAATTGGGTTTGCTTCATTCTATGAAATATTTAAACAATATATTTAATACATTTAGAACAATAAAATGTAAAATCAAAACACAATTTGAAATTATATATATTTAAATAAATTACGTTTTCAATAGGTAATGTTAAATTGTTTGTAGAAACCACTATTGGACTTAGCTAAAACACAAAACAAAAAGTGATTAAATTAATGATACCAGCCAAATAAAATTAGATGGTGTCATACCATTGGTGTTGAACTCTTAGCAGTAGCCCCGTCTATTGCTTGTGGATTAATTGCTGGAGTTACTGAACCACTTTTTAACTAGACAAAATTAAGTTGAGTAATAGTTTAATTATGATACATAATGATTAATAATGATATAATGACATACTTTTGTAACATTCATAATATCATTTGATTTCTGAATGAATTTTATATCTGGTAATTCATTTGATTTTTGTAAGTTATTATTTTGATCATTTTCTGAGTTTTCTTTTCCACTTTCTAATTTAACTTTTTCATTCTTAAAATTAAAAAGAAAAATTAATAAATTATAATTTATTATATTTAAATAGTTTGTGATATATTTACTGACATTCAGATTTTGTATTTTGTTTTGTGCATCATTCAATTCTTGAGTAAGTTGTTTATTTTTCTTTTCTTCTTCCAAAAATTTTAATTTCAATTTTTCTAATTCTTCTCTTAAATTTTTTTCTTCTTCCTTTAAATTATATCGAGTTAGTATACTGTTAATTAAATATAAGTAAACATAAATAAAATAATTTTAGTAAAAATGATAAAATGTAGTATAAATTAAGTTAATATATTAAACTAATTTATGTATATTTATGAATAACATAATTTATAACTCAATATTTTCAGAAATTATTGTTTGAACTTTACGAGGAAATTATAGTCATTGTGTCTTAGTTTAATAGATTTACTAGTTAAAATCTACATTAAAATCATAGATATTATACAATAGTTTATAAGTATTATGCATACCTATATCTCTAAAAAATAGAATATTTAAATTAATATACATTAATTTTATTGGGATAACAGTATAATTTCTAAAATTAATTTTTTCTTTGATAAAAAAATATATAGAATAGATTTAAAAACCATATACCTACAATCTATTTTACATAAGGTTAGGTAAATTTAAATGATACAAGCTTGCACTTGTAAAGTATTTTAAATGTCTGGAAGCACTTTGCAAAAGCAAAAAAATATCTTGATCTTTAACATAAGGATAGCTTTAGGTATCAAATTGGATTTATACTATGTCCAGCGAGAGAACGCCAACTAATTTTAGTTCTCCCAAGAGACATCCTACCATAGGTAAACCGGTTATGATGGCGGGGTGACGTGGGGGGGATGATCAAACCTGGTGAGTTCTCTTGCAGGACAGAGTATAGTTAGGGCCAAAAGAAGAAAATGCTATGTACTTTTTAAAAATAATGTAAAATTAAAAATCAATTGGTAAAAATGGAATATTTGAATACCTACTTTTGTTTTTTTATTGTAAATCAAGGATTTAAAATAAATACTTATAGAGGCTTACATTTTCACCAACTTCATATATATATATATATATCTATTTCTTAAACACAATATTATGTTCAAAAAACCTCAACACTTCTGAGGCTGTTTATATACAGTTGAAATGTTAATATGGTAAACCGTAGACAGATCATTGTTATAGTAATACATTTAATTTGATATCTTACAACTGATAATGTTGTTTTTTTTTCAAGTGCCTACCTAATAAGTACCTATTACAAGTACCTAAAAGTAAATTTATCTAAATAATCATTAAAACATAACAGAACAAACTAATAACACGAATTATTAATTTAAAATGTATAATCAAACTTGAACTCTGACAATATTGCTTGTAATTTTTACACATATTACAAAAATATATTCTACCTGTAATACTTCATGATTTCGTTCTATCTCGCTATATCGATTCATAGAATCGACATTTTGTTTATCACGCAACTGTTTCTCATCTTGAATTACTGCATTAAGGTCCTCCTTGGTTTTCATATGTTCATGTTTTTCTTCTTCTAATGACCTTTCCAATTTCAATTTATGTTCAACGATGACTGTAAAATTAATGTATACATAAGTGATCAACAAATTATGTTTCTACAGTCAACCTGACTGTTGATACGGATATACTGTACCTTGTAATTGAGATGATATAGACTCTAGCTGATGAGTGCATGAGGAAGCCGAATTACGGACGCCATCCAATTCTACTTGTGTTTCATGAAACACGTACAGCACGGCCGAAAAAACCAAAACCATGCAAATGAAACCAATTAATCTCGTTTTTCCTCCTCTAGCCACCATTTTTGCAGAAACTTTGTCCCTGGAAAACGAAAATTACTGTCTTACTACAAGAATGTAACAAGATCAATATCATAAACATTTATCATTCTCGTCTCTCGATCAGGTATCTTACCTTCAGGGCTTCGGTGTATTTATACAGGTAGTATAATCCGAATAATCAATAAATATTTCGTATACAATATTGTCATAATCTGTGATCCATCTCCAAGGTTGCACCTGTACGCACTAATAGCAAATAAAAAATGTTTGAATTAATAATACAAATGTTTGTTTTTCGATATGAACGAATGTCAAATAATTTGTCGCATACAGAATAATATTATGGTTTTATTTTTTGGTTTTTATCAATACGTCGCAAACGGTCGAACGTCGAAAATTTGATTAGACAGACTACAGAAACAGAACAAACGCGGATGTCCACGAAACAAAACCCAAAAAGTTATTACGAGATAGCGCACCTTGACATGATACTTCGTAGAATAATATGAATATTATATTAATATTAATAATATTAATACCCGATTACCTTAACAGGCAAATCATTTTAATGATTTTAGATTTTACAAATGAAATAAAATGAAAAAAAAAATCCATTTATTTCTCAATCCACAGAGGTCTAGGACCTCTCCAGGATTTTTTTTAAATTACCTACAACATTTTTTTATTGTGAATTATTGTACTGAGTTATTTAGGAAAAATTTTACATTTCCGTTAGAGCAGTAATCAGAATTATCGATAATTAAGAGTTTTGTAGGTATTTTAAAAGGAAAAAATGACACAAGTTACAGTATCTATACTCAAAAAAATTTGAAAATAATTTTTCGGAGGGGGGAGGGGTATATAATTTATAACTGATCAATTTGTGGCTAATGTAGAGCGAATTTTCGATACAGTAGTTATATTATATTACACAGAATGTCTCATTTCTCCCCCAGTCCTCATTTTCTCAGTTATATACTGTTATGCCTTAGGCCTTGTTACTTACTGTAGACATTTTCAAATGTAGAATACTAGATGAACAAAAATTAAAAATGGTATCAATAAAGATTGAACAATTATTTTAATATTTTGCTTTATTTAAAATATATTTTCAAGTGTTCAACATGTGACGTCCTTAGCCCTTGAGGTAGGGGGCGGCCAGATGGGCATTTTCCCCGTCTGATTTTTTTGGTGAAAAAAACAGTTATATTTTCATAGGTTAGCATATTTTCATTTTGACTTTGAGAAAGGCACAATATTTAGTGTATAGGTACTGAGACATTATTGTCACAATAATAATTGATATTTTAAGATTTATAATAGGTGTACATATATGTGGGCGTGGATATAAAGCCGCAATTCCCACGACTGATAGTTGTACTTTAGAACTTTGCAAATGTAAAGCCGTCGGAAATGTTTACTTGTACAATATTATTGATTTTTTTCCTGTGGTGACCCCCTTTTTTAATTTCAATTTTTCAGCAACCCCCTACATACATTTTTTTTATACACTCTCGTAGATTATTATCAATAATCAATACCATAAGTACAAAGTACTGCCCATTGTACAATGTAACAGTGTGCACAAGAAACATGAAATAAATATAATATTATAATTATTTTTAATTAAAAAAACGTATACCAAATATTTTATTCTATAAATATATTTTTAAATAATAATTCATTATTCTTAATGCCTTATCATAGGGATAGGTTGATGGTCTATATTCAACGTTTGCTATAAAAATAATAATTGTGTGTTTTTCGTTTTAATATATAATAATATATACTCGTACTGTAATATTGTACTATTTATTGATTTTATTTTTTCATTACTTTATTTTATTATTTCAACTTTTTAATTAATATGTCTATGGCATAGACCCATGTTTAAGACGCACGAGTGTAGAAACGAGAGCAACAGATGGCGCTGCTGTTATCATCTAAACCGAAAAATACAATATTTATATTAAAGCCTTTTAGACCGTATACTCCCCTCCCCTCACCCGTTCGATGATACAGATTAAAATAGTAATATTTTATCATAACAATTAACTTTTATAGCTTATAACTTTATAAGGCATTAACATTATTATTTAAGCATTTTAAACATGTCTTATTGTCTAAACAACGATAATAAAGAACGTAATTTCTACTCGTGATCTTTGTACTATTAATATAGAATAAATAAATTGATTTTCCCTATTAATTTTTGTCGTTGCGAGTAAGTGCAATTCGTACAACAAATACCAACAACTAACAAGTGATTGGCAATTGCCAATCGGTATGTCGTATGTGTACCTACATTCTTAACAACACAAATTACAAATAAGTACCTACCTATTCCGTATTCTATGAAATATGAATCAGAACTATAACCGCACATGGGTCATGGGCATGGGTGGATAGGCCTACCGGTTAACCGGGCATTTCCCGGTGGGCCCCCTCCTTATTTCGGTAATAGGGCCCTTTAATAAAATGCAATTACGATTACCTACGATAGAAATAATTTGAAATTTTTTTTCATGTGTGGGGTCCCTTTGTAAAATTTTCCGGTAGGCCAAAATTGGCCTATCCGCCCATGGTCAAAGGTATCTATTCCAGACCACAGCGTTGATTATAATTTATAACTTATTGAAGTCACAAATTATTTATGCACGCAAAAGTCATATTATTGAGTCATTGATATAATATTATAGAACAGTTATTTAAAATAGGACAATAGCTGCTACCGTAAATTAAAACAAACGCGAATATTAGTATTATCAGTTATTATTTATCAACTATGAAACCAATATTAATAAATTGGAGACCACAATAGATTTACTATGTCAATGGTTCAGGGTCCTCAAACTTCTTATGTCAGCGAGAAATTTTTTATAACAATACATTTTAAAGGGGCATTATGATAGTGTATACAATTACAATAATTCTTATTAAAAAATGTTTTACCAAAATCACGATTTTTAGAAGATATTGATGTCTAACGACTAATAGTTATTCATAATATGACCACTCTTTGGCCGCCAAACGATAAATGTAATACACAGACTAAGATATGTCCAAGAATATAAGATATACATATTAGTTAGTGGTATCATAAAATATAATAATTGTTATTGATAACTTAAATTAAGAATTAGGAAATTTATATTTTTATTAACTATGATAGAGTCGCGGCACACCTATATATAACCAGTTTGCGACACACTTACGAGTATGTGACAAACGCAACACCGGTTGAGAGCCACTGCACTATAAGGTGCCTAATTAAATATCAGATTTTATTGTACTAAACAACAGACTTTTCTCTGCATCTTCAATAAATAATGAATTAATAATGTTCGACATTACTTGTCTTCACTTATTTCTTTACATGTTTGTAAAATACTATGGTTGTACATTAATGTTTAAATATAGGTAACTAATATAATACTTAACAACCTACCAAATCATATAATTCACGTTTTAAGCATAAGGGTACCAATATAATCGATCATAAACTAAGAACTGATTTAGCGGGACCATATAATGTATTTGTACATTTCTATTTTAAATTTAAAATTAATTCTTATACTTTTATTTTATTAATTATTAGAAAACATTGGTACTTCCGTTATTTATAGTGCAACTAAAATAATTTAGGATAATGTTCGTTTAAAGGCATTGTCATAGATATTGTGCGTTAATTTGTATATTATAATTTAATAATTTATAATCATTATTTCTACAAAAACTGCAATAACTACCTATGTATTATATTAACTTATCTTTCACAATCGCCACTTATTATATTTATTTATTTGTTATTCATAGGTATAGTTTGTTTTAGTAAAAACACTTAATTTACATTTTTTGATATGTATATCACTTAAGCTTACAATTATATCGGCTAATTTTGTATTATCTAACTGACTAACTCTCACTTCCGCACAGGCACAACTATTATTGGCTAGGACGTTGGAGGTGACCAACTACTGTTTTTACTTTTTACTATTATTATTATAATTCCACTGTAGTATTAATGATGCAGTTAGTTGGCAACAAATATTATTATTATTATTATTATAATTATTGTATTTATTTTTATTATCTGCTATACTATTCTCGGGCTAAATTTACAGCAATAAAAGTAATACTTATTACTGGACCGATTAAATTCTTGTCTTGACTAGACGACTGGTTGACTTTGGTTGACTAAAATCTTATAAAACATTATAATATGGTAATGAGATTATTCAAATGTATACGATTTGAATAATTATTATTACATTTTTTTTGTAAATAATTAATTTTTTTAACCATACAAGCTGTAAATTAATTTACCATAACCATAGTGGAGGTAATAATAATATCAATACTTACGCGAATCCGATGAATGCCAGTGGTAACAATGATCTCTTGAATATTTTATTTTGAGTAAACGTCTTTATTTTTATTTTTAACCATTAATTGGTTACTAATATTGTGTTTCAGCTTAAAAATTATCTCATGAATTATTAATTATTAAAGACAATAAGCCAAATATAATAGAACATAAAAACATTTTTCAAAAGGTTAAATTAAAAAAAAATAACTCTGCTGTATACTGGGTTTTGACTATTTTGAATGAACTTCATGATTTGTAGTCATTACAGTAGGTCATTGTAGTCGTGTATTCATAATGAAAATATTACATTTCAATTTAATGATAACTCATTGTTCAGGAAAAACCATTTTGTGTTAAGAGGTAGGCCCCCACTTCCAGTCTTAAGCGGATTTTATAATTTAAATATAGAATTTAGTCATTTAATAATCTATTAGTAATATTACTATAATATTATACAACTAGTTTTTGTCAATAGACCAAAACATCCTTCATAACTATATTAACTAATAAGTACCTAGCTACTATATAATTTATGAATTATGATAATCTTATAATCGCATATAAAATTATTATTACTTAGAAATAGAACACGGATTTATACACACTATAAAGTATCACAAATTACCCAATAGTATGCAGCTTCAATTTTAAAAATAATAAATATACAAAAATATAAAGGAACTATTTTTCAAATATTGTAATTAGTTATTTGGTAATTATTGATTTTTAAATAGAAAATTAGTGCAAAACTAATTTTTTTATTAAAACTGTATAATAGAGATTAATAAGATGAATAATAAGATTATGAACAATTAAATTTACTTCTTGTTAAAAACGATATAACTGATACTATTATTTACCAAAAAAGTATAGGTTTGTCGTTTGTAGTTGACAAAGTTTATAAAATATTATTTTACACTTGTATGAAGTTTTTAAAAGAGTAGATAATTTAATTTCACTTCATTATGAAATAAAGATTCATAAATATACAAAACATGCGAAAAAATTGTCGTCATATACTTGAAACCAATACAATTTA